GGGGGGAACAAAATTATGCAACAATATCACTTTCCCTGTCTTCCTTGAGATGGGCAACCTGGTTATGTCTGCAGGTTAAAAGTTTAGGAAAGTTTTGCCCTCTTAGGCCCAGTACCTGGCTGGAGTAAAATGTGATCATATTGCTATCTAATTAACCATAAGCTACTCAGTGTCCAGGGAAGGAATATAAAGGCTCCATCACAAAGCTGTATAATGAAAAGTCAGAGGGGGCTGCATCAATAATTCATCCCAAGTCAGCATTGAGTGTCATTCCTTTATCTCTGGCTCCTTCTGGTAAGCAGATAGCCCTTATCAAACAACTTCTATGCAGCACGATACACCCATCCGTGCTCTGGCGCAAAAGACAGTGGACGAAATGGAATGTGTTTCTTGCATCTTTATGTGAAAAAGTAATTTCTCATATCTCATTTTGACTTTATCAGCTATGATTCTTTCCTAGGGAGAAAATTAATAACTTACAAACCCCAGTAAAAAAAGTGCATAAACACTTTTGGAGCAAGATATCTGCTCCTAAAGAACATTTGGAGGAGTACCTAATTCTATTTCTTATGATTTACGTCAGTGCAAATGCAGTTTTCAATGCTCTTGTGGCTTTAAAAGCACGAGTGTCATCTGGAGTGTTGAACTACACAGGAGAACAGTAAAGTTCACTTATAGGGTGGCTTTTTATAACACAATAAACTGGGTTATTAAATTAAACCATTTTCTTGGCTTGTACAGCATATTAAATATTTAATGAGATGGGTTTTAAACAATGCACTAACTGAAAAAAAAAACCTAATCAAATTTGAAACTAGTCAAATTTGGCATATTGTATGAATAATGACCAGATCTTTCATTGATGTAATGCAGCATTTCAGTATTTCTTTTTTATCTGCTTAGTTGGGAGGTGAGAGAGTTGGGGGAAAAGTAGCTTTTGAAAATTCTTGCATATATTTATATTTGCTACCATCATTCTGTAAACACTATGTAAGATTTGGATCTCTCTTCTGCCCAGTGTCTGACATATTTAATCCCATATACATTTTTTTTTATACTTCAACACATCAACAAACATTAGGGAATGTTTGATAGTCTGGTTCTGGTAATTAAAGCTGCAAGACGTGGGCTGCAAAAATTAGGATGATCACCAGGTTGCAGCAAAGAGATGCAGACAATTCTCTTTCCTGTCATTGAGTTATTGGTTGGATTTTTGCAACTCACATGTGGCACCCCCACAGTGTTAGAAAATAAAATACTATAGCTATATTTTATGGTAAAAATGGTATCTTGTATTTCTAGAAAAAAAATTATCTTGCCAGGCTCCCAGCTGGAGTCACAGGGGACATTATTTCTGGACTGACATACATTGCTGAAGTGTGGGTTTGAACTCTAAATTAGCTTTGAAGTGCACTTGGCCTTTGAAGAGAAGCTTCTAATCAGCAATTCTTTTCCATCTGCACAGCGTTCCCATCTAGCATTTGTCTGTTCACCAGTGCACATACTTTGTGAGATGGTTTATTTCCAAGATTTAGCCTAAGATTTAAAAGCAGGGAATCTTTTGAATTCTATCAACATGATGCTTAAAAAAAAAAGAGTCCAGCACTGTGCACTTTAACAGGCTGAAAATGGAATATAGGAGATAAGAACAAGTTTCAACCAGACCAGGAGACCAAAATTGCTGTGGTGAAACAGATAGGTGTCACATACAGATGGATGTCAAAAACGGAAGTTTCTTAACAGGCACAATATGCCATAATACATATAGCCCTCACTTTAGCTACCCGCAAGCCAAGATGTCTATCAATTTTTCATTGTATGAGATTGCCAAACAATTGGGTGATTTTGGAACACATGAGGTATCAGCAAATGCTTAAAACTATGGAAATAATGCCTGATTCATTTTTTGAAGCTAGAGGAGCAGGGCTTTTATTGTCATAGAACGCCCAGAACGGAGTTTCGGCACCTTTTTTGGATGGAACCTTGTAGGATAGGCAAGGCGGGTTGTATGACGTGTGTGAGTTCTGGCACCTTTTTTTTTTTTTTTTTACAAAAAAAGCACTATAGAAGAGAATTGAGAATGCAAGTTTTCCGCCCTTTTGTATGACTACAGTACCCTGTTCTTCCTTCCTTCTAATGTTATTTATAAAAATCCAAAATATTACAACAAGCATGTGCAAAACTTTCTCGTGTATGCAAATGGATACAGTATCTTAAGGAATATACCCATCCTAAATCAATAAGCTTATAAGAGAACAGCCTATAGGCACAGTAAGATCAGTGGTAAAATAATAAAACAAAAAGCACTCTGAATTATGTACTGTTTAATAGCTACTGATAAAGGAAGTCTTTTTACCCATTGTTCTTTTATATTACTAATATGATTTTAACTAGCAATTTTTATAATTTAAAATAAAATAACTGTAATGGTAGATGGCATCTTATACCAAGCGAGACCTCTGACTGTCCAACTTGGAATTGTTAGGTTGCAGTCTGTGCTGCTTCAAGTAATTTCACCTCTCATTTTATTGGCTCAACTATAACCCATTGATAAAATTCATGCTCAGTATACATGCAGAAAGTCTCAGGATTCAACTCTTCAACCCATTATATCACAGGTTAAAAGAACCAAGCAGTAATGAATATGGAAACCTTTTCTACTTTGAAAACCACTACCACTGAGTTGATTGGTATACATATAAAATGCTAGCATTTATACTATGCAGTTAACTTGGAGATCTGAGAAGATGGAACCTAACACTTAACAACAAGCAAGGTATATACTATACCATTGAAATATCAGTTCTTAATGTCTCAACTAAAAAAAAGAAACTTTAGATCAGGAGGTATCACTCCCAGAAGTCTTCAAGTCCTTCATGTTTTAAATAAATTTTGGGAACAGGGTGATATTGCATGGTCCCATTAAAGCTACAGACTCTTTGTGTCAGCATAATCCCTGCTGTGCAAGCTCATATTTAACCAAGTTTAATAATATGTGTCTTTTGTTGTAGACTGAGGCTTTAAATATAATTATACCCTTGTCACAGTCCTTAAAGGATTCAATTTGGCAGTTTCGATTCATTTTCTAGAACTGCTTGAATTCAAATTAAGAAATAAGTTAGAAGTAGACTTGGAACTACCTGGATAAATACCCTGTTGAAATTCAATAAGGTTCTACATTTAGGCAAGAAAAATCAAATGCACAGGTACAGAATAGGTGGTCCCTGGTTCAATAGTAGTAACTGTGAGGGGGATCTTGGAGTCCTAGTGGACAATCACTTAAATATGAGCCAGCAGAGTGCTGCAGCTAAAAAAGCCAATGCAGTCCTAGGCTGCATTAACAGAGGGATAGAATCAAGATCACACAAAGTGGTAATACCCCTTTATAATGCCTTGATAAGGCCACACTAGGAATATTGCATCCAGTTTTAATTGCCACAATATAAAAAAGTTGTTGATACTCTAGAAAGAGTACAGAGAAGAACAACAAAGATGATTAGGGGGCTGAAGGCTAAAACATATGAAGAATGGTCGCAGGAATTGGGTATCTCTAGTTTAATGAAAAGAAGGACTAGGGGTGATATTAAAGCAGTGTTCCAATATCTAAGGGGATGTCACAAAGAAGAGGATGTCAAGACAGGACAAGAAGCAGTGGATAGAAACTAATTGAGGAGATAAGCAACCTAGAATTAGGAAAAAATTCCTGAAGTTAGAACAATTATTCAGTGGAATGACTTTTCTCCAGACATTGTGGGTGTTCTAACATGGAGGTTTTTAAGAAGAGATTGGACAACCATTTTCCTGAAATGGTATGGGGTTTCCTGATTGTGCAGGGGGTTGGACTAGAAGACTCCAAGGTCCCTTCCAATTCTGTTATGTACATAACTGATAAGTTATTCTGATGTGTTACCCATGGAGTTTCCAAAAGCTTTACAGCCAAATTGCATTAACAGTGTAATTCAGGTTAAAATGTCTAGTGCTGTTGGTGAAATAGTATTGTTCCAAGGTTACACAATTAACCTTGCTCTAACCAAATCTCCTGCATGTTTCACCACCTGGTGCTATATTAGAAATCTTGTGCATATCTGTGGAAAACTGGTCAAATTCACCATCACATTTATTTAATATGTGTTCTTAAATAATCATTTTGTTTAAACAAGTTGTTATTAGATTTGCACCAGGGACCGGTTCTGTGGAGAAAGGGCCCAGGATCACTTCCCACCTCTACCTGTACAGCCTTAAAAGTTACCTCCAGTTACGCCTGCTGAAAAATAGTGGCACAATTTTTGATATTGAGACTGGAAAAACATTTTACTGTAAGCCTAGTAAAGGCCTAAGATAGGTTTTACAAACCCATTGATAGCCTTGCTAAGTTTTTCAGCTATTAGAAGGTGCCAATCCTTATTATATATACTCAGATACTATTCGTCAGGGATGGTACACTCTGCATAAGACAGGATAAAGTAGCTGCTTAAGCAGCAAATATTGAAATATAGGAAATGGGTAGTGACATGCTGGAAGACAACAGCAATAGCAATAGTACTTAGACTTACATACCGCTTCACAGTACTTTACAGTCTTCTCTAAGCAGTTTACAGAGTCAGCATGTTGCCCCCAGCAATCTGGCTCCTCATTTTACCAACCTCGGAAGGGTAGAAGGCTGAGTCAACCTTGAGCCAGTCAAAATCGAACTGCTGGCAGTTGGCAGAATTAGCCTGCAATAGTGCATTCTAACCACTCACCACACATAATGCATTTGTGCCACACCAGGTCTCTGGGCTCTCTCAGTATAGCAAAACTTTTATTATGCCATAGCTCAAGATCTATATACAAATATCTTCCTACTTCTCTTAAAGAAGGATGTTGTAAAATAAATAGACTTAATATATATGGATACAAAATGCTGAAAATATCAGAATGGCTGTGGAAATGCTATCTTCCATCAATCATTTTCCTAAGGCAAAAAAAGGCAGTTCTAGTTGGCATTGTGCATCACTTACCTGTTGGAGAAGACCTTGCTGTAGTTAAACACCTGAATCTCCAGCATCTCATTGACATCAATGCTGCTTGCAATGGGCCATCGGAATGTCTACAAAAATATTGAGAGACAACAAGAAGACAATTGGCATGCTAAGACACATTTCTCAGATATTCAAGGTACCTATTTCTGCCCTGAGCTTCCTCAACACCATGTCTGTGTTGCTCTTCTATAAAAGTACAGATTTTAATTTTAATTATCAAGAGAAATGGCTCAAAAATTCAAGTAGCACTCAATGCTTTAGGATTTCTTTTTCCCAGGAAAGATCTCATGGGAGTTTTTCAAAATAAAAACAAAATGTTTGGGTTTGCCTGGAAGTCACATAATCTTTATCAGAGATGATGAATACCCATCACTGAGAAGAACCCTATGCTTTTTTGAATTGTCAACATGCTGGACCCTTATCCTGGACCTGGGAGACTTCAATGGTATATAGATAAAATATATGAGGCTGAATTTATTGAGGTTTTAGTTTTTAAATATCTCAGTTTTTTTACATATATTTTTGTTAAGACTATAATTAGTCTTAGTAGATGTTGGTGGCGCAGCAGTTAGAGTACAGTACTGCAGGCCACTTTAGCTGACTGTGTTCAGCAGGTCAGCAGTTCAAATCTCACCGGCTCAAGGTTGACTCAGCCTTCCATCCTTCCGTGGTAGGTAAAATGAGGACCCAGATTGTTGGGGGAAATGTAAATATATATATATACATTGCTTACTGGTGTACACCGCTTAGAGAGTGCTTGCACTTAAAGCGGTATATAAGTCTCATAAATAAATAAATAAATGTTTTTGTTTGGTTGGTTGTTTAATTGTCACGTATGTTAGAAACTTGCCTGTGGAATTCCTTAAAGCATTTAATTATCTGGTGGGAGAAAAAATGATAGACTACATGGATTGCTCTTACAGTTTTTTCAGCATGCCAGACACTGACTGACAGTTTTCTTGACATCAACTTTGCTTTCTACTCACAGAGCATTTCAGTTACAGTGAAGAGAAGGGCAGTGTGCTCTTTCTTTTCAGGGTGTAAAGAATGCACTGGATCCATTCAAGAGTTCAGCGCATGTGTATTAACTTTTAAAATACATTTTTAAACAGAGTCTTTTCAAGAGAAGCAGCATGTCATCAATTAACAAATAAAGAATATATAATAATTATAATTATTGCAGAAGAGAAGGTTGAGGATTGTTAGCTGTCTTCAAATACCTGTCATATTGTAGACTTATTCTTGAACTTATTCTAATTTCCTCCAGAGCCTAAGACTAAAACTAATGGGATGAAATTTCAGGACTGTAGATCAGATACTAGGAAGAACAGTTAAGAGCTGTCTGTTAGTGGAATAGTTACCTCATGGAATGGTTTCTTCCATTTTGCTGGAGATTTTAAATAGAGACTGGAAAGTCATCTATTAGGAATGGTGTAGTCGTGAATCCTGCAGTGTGAAGGGAATTGAACACGATGACCACTTTCAATTCTATGATTCTATATGACTTCAGGTGAGTCCTCATAAATTTGAAGACAAATAAAATATCCTGGATATCGTTTCCTGGCTTATTCAGCTTTTTATATGGTTTGATTTATTATTATATTTTACAATACCTTTCTAATAAAAATGTCAATGGTGTTTTGAAGCAGATAATTAAAAGACAACAAGACTATAAACCAATAAATAAGCAAGGTTAAAAACAAAGCCAGAAACAATCACATCAAAATGAATGTTCATCACAATGTAAGAGGTTGGGTGCTGTGAAGGCAATCATATTGGGACCAGGTGCAACTTTCCAGGAAAATGGTTTTATTAACAGGATATAGAAGCCCTTCTCCTTGTTAATATTGACCTTGCTCAGATGAGAAAGGTATCCAAAAGGCTTCCATATAAGGTCTTAATTCTGTCTCTTCTTGACCAAGCAGTCCTTTTTAACCTCTGTCTGATGGCTGGGGATGAGAGCACTGAAGTTTGATCCATTTGGACAGCATCTTGTTAGAGACTGCTATCTATCTGAGTGTATGGCTAGGTGCAATGATGTGGGAGGAGATGCTCATTTTGGAGAACAAGGATAACCTATCTGATTGAGGGGTTCATAAATACCTATATGGACTTTCAGAACCCAGTAGATCTATAGCCTGCAGAATGTTACAATCTTGTATTTGGATTATTTGTCATGAAGAGGCTCTTTGGCCTTTCAACCACCCTTTAATGAACTATTTGCACTTTTCTCTTTCATCACACAGGTATTTACTATGAGTGTGTTGACTGTTAAATCACACTGGACAAAATGAAAGTAGAAAGAGAGAGAGAGGTAGCCTCAGAAGAATATCCGCACCGTGTCTATTTTAAATTCCTAGTTTTTGCTATACTTGTAAGAGTTCTCACTTGTGTTGCTTGGAGAAAGGTCCAAGATCAATATCTAGCAGCATCTAGATTTTGCTGTTTTGTTTAAAGGTAACAGTTAATGGGAAAGCCTCTCAGCAGGTGGCAGTAGCTGGCCAACTTTGTCTGGGCTTGGAAACTAAACAAAGTCATGCTCGGCTAATACTCAGATGAGCATCCAGCAGGAAATCTTAAGATTACAGGCTGGCTGAGAAATCAAAAAACATTCCAAGGAAAGACAATGTCAAAATGCTTAAATATTTTTGTCAAGAAAACAACATGGGTTCTTTGTAATCTTGTAGTGCAGCTCAACTTGAAGGGGTTTTTAAATGGAAAAGACTTTCCTCTGCCTGGGGTTTGGCAAAGCATCTGCCAGTTGAAGGAAATGAACAAGTAAAAATGTAGCACATGAAAAGGGTTGAGTCCGTAAGATCTCAAGGAAAAGCCAGGAAGACGAAAAGCATTTGAAATGCTGTAAAGGCAGGACAAGGTTGGGCAGGCCAATGGTCTTGAACTGGAGGAAAGCAAATTCTTACATTCTGGGATATGTTCCCATTCATGCATCTAATCATTGTATGAACATGCATTGTTAAAGTCCTGTTAGCCATTATCCTCATTAACTTTTTTAAAAAATATATATTTTCCTTATGTCATCTTGGTTTTATTCTCAGCCTACCATAGAGAAACCTAAATTGTTATTTAGCTATTCCAACTTAGAAGTGGTAATTTCTCATTTTTCCCAAAACGAGTCATGCGATAAGACCATTCTATATCATACAATGTGTAGTCAATGTACTGGTTAGGAGCTGGGATCTTCCTTGGCTCTTCTGTAGGAAGACATCTCTCCCTCAACCAGGGCAAAATGCAACCATAGAGTAAAACCATCTATGGCTATTTTGGGTTGATTTGGTATCTACTGGAGAGACTGGACATATTTTACTTTTCTTTTTATGTCTGCAGTGCTGCCGGGGGTGGGGGGGAGGTGTTGGGTGGAGATTGTTTTACATTTTATTTTTTTTCCTATGTCAGCCACTGAGAAATTTTTTTTTGTACTGTGGCACCTTACAAATAGGTCAAATAATTACATAAAAGTAAAGAGTCATTTTTTAATTTCCATAACATACAAACTGAAGGAAGGAAGGAAGGAAGGAAGGAAGGAAGGAAGGAAGGAAGGAAGGAAGGAAGGAAGGAAGGAAGGAAGGAAGGAAGGAAGGTCAGCCTAGTGAGGGAGTCCAGATAGGGAGCACGCCAGATGAACTTGCAAGTCTGAAAGTATATTCCCCCCCCCCCCGCTGCCTTTACAGCCCAAGAAATTGTAGAGAGGGACCCTTCTGAGACATTTGCCACATCCCTATGGCTTCTGCAGGCTAAGCTGCCTCTTATCCCTCTGTTCCCTGGCTGTGGCTCATCTCTTAAGGTCATTTCCATATACATTACAATGGGCGAAAACGTTGGAGGGGAGGCCCATCTACAAAAGGTGCAGTAGAGTTACAGGAAGGGAGGTTATCCTTGGAGGAAAGAGACGAAATGAAATAGGAAGAACGTAGCAGGGTCAATAAACAAAACTGGGAAGATCACACACTTTGGTACAAGTGTAATACAGCAGCAGAAGCTGCAATGTATTCAAGGCTTAACTTGAACCCTTTCCAGATGGTGCATACCAGAAGAACTGAAGCCATTTTGCACTCTATTAAGAGTGACAATTTGTTTTTCCCAGCCTCAAAACATCTGGCTCTCAACATTTTCCCATCCTAATTGGTGTTTAGTCTTTTTCATTCTCATAAACACCACCCAACCCAGATTATACTCTCACTGTAACAGTCAAGTCAAGGGAATCAAAAGCAGTCTACCAGCTGCAACCTGTTGTTGTCACTACAAATATTTGTTTGCAAGTCAAGCTATAATCCTGCTGTGAGTAGTGATTACAAAGAAAGGTTAAAAGAAGATCAAAACATTATGTTGCCATGTAATTAAAAAGAGTGAACTCTTCATTATGTCAGTCTTAGTGAGTTTATCCAGATTCAAGATCAATGGAATACTCTCAGTGGAATGCACTTTAGGGATTCTTATTTTCCTTTTACACCAATGAGGATCAGATTCTAAATTCTATTTCTGAATTCAATTTATAAACTCATCAGGGAAAAATGCATCTTATGATTATATGCATAGTCTTCCTGAATAGAAGAATATTGCACTCCATTTTTCCAGTATGCATACGTAATGCACACTGTTTCCTAATATAACACACACTATTCTTTCATAAAGTACACTTTTGTTAACAGTTTTTCAAATTGCAAACTGCTTGACTAACTCAGGATTTTTCATAAAGCATGTGAATTCATTTCGTTTTATAATTTATTTATTTGATTTATGTATATCCCACTTCTTCCATATCCCACCTTCCACAGGTGTTTCCCTGCATTTCTGATCACTAAGATCAAATGTTTGCAAATAATAGAGGTTTCTATGGCTGCTAAGTTAGGCAATCTGACAATTAAACATCTTAACCAGCAAGGATTTTTATGTATAATTGTTATAAGAAAAAATAAAGATTAAATTATTGCATCAAGATAATCTAAATTGCTGGCAAATTTTTTTTTGCAGTACTTCTGGGACAAAGCAAATAATGTACTGTATAAGAAATAGAGTGTTGGTTTCTGTTGAGTCCGTGGCGGGAAAACAG